ATTAATCAATCGTTCATATTATTTACATAAAATCAAGATTAAGTCGTTTACTAGTCACGATTACAAAATATTAAATGATCAATCATGTAACATACATAAAATCAAGATTTATAAAATGTTTTGTTATTAAATCATTCCTTAGTCGCAATTACAAAATATTTAACGATCATTCATATAATTTTCATAAAATCGAGATTTGAAAGTGTTTTGTTATTAAATCATTTCTTAGTCACAACTATGAGATATTAATCAACATTCATATAATTTACATAAAATCAAGATATCGAAAGATTGGCAAAGTTTCCAGCTTACCGAGTTTGAATATCGTGACGTTTGAAATCGTTATTGTACTAGCGATTGATCGCAGTAATCTCGACTATGAATGGATCAGGGAGGGATTTGCGCTTAACAGATAAATTTACTTTGTTCTTCGCTTAACTAATTTTTATTAGGTTTAGGATTTCAGGCACTAGTCGCCTCGCGAAGAACATCTTAAATCTAACGCATGACTTTACTATTTCTAACAAATAAGCGCACGAGAAAGATCACTCATGTCAGTTAGTTTTTGGAAGCGACCACTCATGTCAGTTAGTTTTTGGAGGTGGCACTACATCTGAGAGTGATTTTACGTCTCGCATTTTTAGTTCTGCACTGGAAAAGTAATTAAACGCATCATTCATTCAATAGTGAAATAAAATGTAGCAAAATAAAATTTGTGGTTTGAAACGAGACGTAGCTGGTGAGGCAACATCTTATCGTTGAGTATCGTCGAAATTATTCGGATGAGAGCGTCCGGTCCGCTATCTTGCTGTGCGTGAAAGAATGTTCATCACGTTATCCTTATTTAGCAAGCTGTTGAAATTATAACTAAGAATTATAACTAAGGTTGCAATTATATTATATATTTGTACATGCGAAACACAACCATCTATATCTGCGCCCATATAGCAAAGATCATACGAAATACATTTAGCTTACGTATAATTTGACTTTCCAACATTCGACGTAATTCTAATAGCGTGCGAAGAGGTTGCAACAAATCACGTTAAGTGAGGGTAATTTGACATATTTCATTTATATTCACGTAAGTGCCGATTTTCGCGGTCTTCCCTTGGTTTTTTGTCGTTGTGTTGTTATTGTAAGATGCTGCCACCCAGGCAGTTTGCTTGACATTATTCACTGCGTGCTGTACGTAAGGCGTGCGGCATTGCCAAAAAGAGAGGGCAAAATTTGGACGGTCGTCACAACAGCTTTAGTAAATATATGTACAATATACAGGGTGGCATGAATATATAGTCCAACTCGTCCCGAACAGGTAGGGTGGACTAAACTGAGTAGAAAAGTCATCTACCATTTTGCAATGCTCGCAATAATTAACGAGATATTAACGTTTAAAGATAGCTCAATACGCGCATCCACTCGATCTATTATTGCCAAAGGTACGGTCCATCGAGCGCACGGCACGCGGGCCGCGAGAAGCGGAGATAACCTAGCAGGCCCGCCGCGTCATTCGAGCTTAGAGGCTCGCGATGGTAAGTCTCGCTTCTTGTGGCCCGCGCGTTCAGTGAACCGTACTTTCGGCAATAATAGGTCGGGAGGACGCGCGTATTCGGCTAAACGTTAGTATCTCGTTAATTATTGCGAGCATTGCAAAATGATAGAGGACTTTTCTACTCAGTTTAGTCCACTCTATCTGCTCGAGAGTGGGGCCGTATATTCATGTTACCCTGTATATTTACTAAAGTGTATATAATATAAAATTAAAAGATTACTCTCATATAAACACGAGGAAAATTAGGATAGTAATTCACAGTTTAATATAAGAAATTAAGACACACAAGGAGTAGTAAAGTATCAAGCTGCTCCTCGCCTTGATGAAGTGGACTACAAGGTTCACGAAACGTTGGCATTCCAAGAATGGATTTGGACACGGAGGAAATCCGCGAAACGCATAATCTTTACACACACAAGGATTATTTTTTATTATGAATCAATAATAATTTAATTTGAATCAATAATAACGGTAACCTATTACGTTTTATTCCTTATATTTATATATGATGAAAAATATTTATAAAAGTAAATCTCTATTTAGAGAGAGTGAATATAATTATTAAAAATAGCAGTTTAATGTAAGCTATTGAAACGCTGTAATTTTATTTTGTATCGATAATTAATTACACTATTCCTTATGTATAATAGAAAATATTTATTATAAAAATAACAGAAAAAGAGAATAATTGTTAAAAATTTCAATTACATATACAATTTAATATAAGAAATCAAAATTCGTAAAAATCAATTCTAATTATACCGTACAATTTTTCACACATAAAAAAAATCAAATTGTCCGTAAAAGTAGAAATAGAATCTAATACCAACATGCGTTTTGTTTAATGATATCAAATCATTTGCGTTTTTTGTGCATGTTTGAAGTTTAGAGGAGGTTATTTCTTCGGCGCAAGATAAAATTTTGCGATTTGTCTGAAAATTATGTATTTCCACGTAAAATTGATTGCTAAATGAGAAAATAACGATCAAATTAAAGCGATTGGGAAAGAGCAAAATGATGAAAAAATGCATTTTAGTTTAAAATCGCTTAAATTTCGGTAAAAATTTAGTTTATGGGAACATTTCCCAATGACCTTGATATATGTTGTCAAGGTCATGACAAGTCATGAGTGATCTCCAACTGGTTTTAGTCGTCGTTATTAGTTAAAAAGATATTAATAAAAATAGTTTGAAAAATAATGTTTTCTTTCTGCTATATGTAATATTAAAAACTATTCTATACCTTTCCTTGCTTACGTAATGATTTTTCATGCGAAGCGACTTTCACCTCACCCTCCTGCTTCAGGGGCGCACGACTTCCACGCGAAGCGACTTGCACTTCACTTCCCCCTCTCCCTCCTACTTGGAGGCGCACAACTTCTACGCGAAATGGAGATAGAATGGGAGTCGCTTTGCATGGAAGTCATGCGCCCCTAAGCAAGGAAGGAGATGGAGTGAGAGTCGCTTCGCATGAATATAATAGTCGTGAAATATATTTTTAAGTAGGAAATTTTTGTTCTGTATAATAAAAAAAATATCTGTATATGTATAGTGAAGATATTATTTTGCAAACTTTCCTTTTTAATAATTTTTTAATGAAGGGCGACGATTAAAATCTGTTGGACGTCACTCATGACCTTGACAATATATGTCAAAGTCAAAGTTGGGGCTTGTCAAAGTCATTGGGGAATGCTCCCCCAATCTGAAATTTCTTCTTGTTTGGCCTTTCTATGATTTTCTTTGTGAATATTAATAAGAAAATGTATTCTGCATGACTTAAATGCAATATTAATTATTCGTTTTTCTAATAAAATCAAAAAAATTAAATTTAAAATTATTAAAGTTAAATTTATTAATTGAAAAAATACAAAAAACATATTATTTCGTGAAAAAACACAAATTTGCTTACATTTATTCTAATCTTGTTATGTGCCGCGTCAAATCGATCAGCAGTATTCGCTATAAGCATGTGGTGAGAGTCTTTTCCTTTGAAGCGTTGTTCGATTGTAGAAATATTTTGGAAACGCTCGCCGTGCTCATCACTAAAATAGATCAAATCGTCGAGAAAGAAATTCAAATGCTTGTGCAAAAAGTGAATTTTCAACGACATATTGATGACTCCTATTTTACGAAATGTAGCAATCATTTCGACTGTAACTTCTTTATAATTTTTAGCTCTATTCTTATCTAAAAAATTATAAAAATAACCACATCTACAGCTTCCCATGATTCGTAACGTTGTAAGCCTCAATTAGACCGCGGTTTTATACGCAGCTAACTTCAAAGGAAATGTGTTATGACCACTTTTATAGAAAGGTCGAAAATTTTTAGTAATTCTCATATTTTCATCATTTTGCTTTGCTTCAATCACTTTAATTTTATCATTTTCTCATTTAATAATTAATAATTTTATATATTATATATAAAATATGATTTTCAGACAATCGTAAAATTTCATCTTGCATCGTGGCCGAAATAACCTCTTTCCTGATGAAAATAATCAGAGCGTAATTCGGATTTATGAGAAAATAATAGAAGCGTTTGAAGAAATGAAACTTCTAATAGCGCATTCTAAGGATTGTAATTCGGTAATACTTAGTGGCATTTTTAAATAAATGCAAAATTATTATAAAATAATGATTTTGCAATTTGAATTAAAAATGAAGTACAATTTGTAAGTAGTTTGTGTCAATACCTATAGTGTCGGAACAAAACCAGGTTTTACTATTCTTGGTAAACCAAGACGCTTATAGGTCGCGAAAATTAGAACAATAAAATATAAAAGAAGCATTTACGCTTCTTTTACATTTTGATGTAAATTTTCAATTTTTGCTTTCTAGAAATTTCATTTATGCTTCTGTTATTCTTTCATCATTACATTCGATTTACGCTCTGATTTTTATTTTTATCAGGATTCAAATGTACATAAAACTTCAAATGTACGTAAAAAACGTAAATGATTTGATATCGCGAAACGACACGTATGCCTGAATTACATTTTATCTCTTTTTTTGCGGACAATTTGAGTTTTCTATACATGAAGAAAAAAAATTATTTTTAGATACAATTTCGCTATTCAAGCCTGGCAAGTTAACTTACGCTAATTCGTATATTACAAATTCTTTTACAGAGTATAATCTAATATGTCATTTCTTGAAGCTTTTCTGTGATCCTGTTCCTTTCGATACCTTCAATACATTAAATCTTACTGTCTTGTTCAAAGGTCTGCATTCTCCAATGCAAATTATTTTTATTGTACACTGTTATCTTATATTAGTAATTATGGTTATACTATTCTTTACGTATAAAAGAAAATATTTATTTGAAAAGTTCTCATACAGAAGGAGAAAATAGTTATAATTTATCAACATATATAAAATATTTTCATTTTCGCATAATTGTATCCATTTGAACTTTCTTATTGCTTCATTAGATCCATGTACCTTTTCCTTTCTAATGAAAACTTTCCTTAGCCAAAAATTGCGTAAAAGCGAGGATTTCTAAAAAAAAAAGAACAATTTTTGTTAAATCTTTCTGTATATATTTGAATATATAATAATATTTGAATAACTGAACTTAAATATATATGTATTCCGTAAACACAATATAGTAGTAAACCTTATACCCGAATTCGGTCACTTGCACTAGATCAGTGCATACTAAAAGCTGCTTTACATAAAATTAGCAAAGTTAAATGTAAAAATATATATTTTAAACGATTAACTATCTACTAATAATCATTTATTGTTTGTCACATTATTTAACAAAATATATCGTATCATTTTATTGTCAAAGTTGATTGTATCACTGCATTGAAGTATTTTATATAAAGCAGTTTTTAATATGCACAATCCAATGTAGTGCGAGTGATCGAATTTATCATTAAACCTTAAGAAATTGACTTACAGTCGAATGTAAGAAGAATAACTGATTATGATTGGTTAATTCCTTAAGGCTTAAGGTGCATTCACATGCAAGCATCAAGCAACGAAAGCAGCAACCAATCAACAAGGTGATTTTTACACCAAAATATTTTTTATACCACTGCCTGTATCGCCCAGTTGATTGGTTGTTGCTTCCGCTGCTTGATGCTTGCATATGAATGCATTTTTAAGGCTTACTATTTTATTATGGTTGCGGGATAAGAGATACGTTCAAAGCAAATGTACTAAATTCAACTGTACTGCACTTTGAAATAATGCACAAAGATGTGATTTTAACTACTGCCGTATGCAGGGTTGGCAAGTAACGCCTTATTTGTAATGTCGTTATCGTTACAAGTTACTTTTTTCAGTAACGAATGGATGACGATGTTACATTTTCTTTCGAGTAACGTTCATTGTAACGCAGTTACATTTTTGGGATAATGGTAACGATTTCACTAGTTACTTTTATCATTACTTTATTTCTAACAACTGCCACAAAGTTTAGTCGTAACTAAACCGTGTGCGTGCGTGCGTGTCTCAGTTTTTGAACCTTATTCTTCTATCAAAAGATAGAATTCTGACTCCTCTTCAAAATATTTATCGCAAAAATCTGCATATAGTAGCGTTTTTCATTGACAGAACTACCCAGCACAATATTTATAAAATATTTACAAAATATTTATAAATATTTACAAGATTTATTTTAAATATCTTGTAAATATTTTTGTGATCTTAGATTATACAGATTATAAATATTTATTTTAAATATTATGAAATATTTATTGTATATGTATAGTAAATGCTATGAAGATATTTAATGAGACATTATAATCCAAGTAAAGAATACTTATTAGAAATATTTATTTATATTTATCATAAATATTACATAAAATATTTAATCCATATTGAAATAATATTTCGAATAGAGCTTTATATAAAATATATATGAAATATCTATATAATATTTCACAAAATGAATATTAATAAACATTTGTCATAAATATTCTGTGCTGTCTGGATAGTGCGCACTCAGTGCAATTTAAATCCGTACACACAAATCGACGCAAATATATATGTTTAATAAAAATGTACAATAGAAACGTGATAAACCGCAAAAAAAATCTTCAATACATTTTATTATGCTATTTGATAAAATAGCATATTGAAAATTTTTAAATTAGATAAAACGTGCCCTTCGGACATTATATCAATTGAGATTTCATTTTTACATTCAGATTAGAGTAGTGTACAACGGCTTTAATGTGTACTGAGTTTTGCCAATAAAAAACGCTATAATATTTTTGTTAGCATCAAGCAAAAAAAGTAACGAAAAAGTAACAACTCGTTACATTTTGAGTATCGGTAACGAGTTACTTTTGCAATCAATAACGATAATGAATTACTTTAAAGAACGGTAACGGTTATTTTTATGGGGTAACATTGCCAACCCTGACCGTATGTATATGTATTCGCACAAAAATATCCGTAAATGCAACCACAATAAAAGGAATAGGGAATACAGATTTCAACTTATCAGAAATCGGATACACCAAAATACACGGTTCCTGATAGATTGGAATCGTTTTCCTTACCGGGTTTATAGTGGTCGGTGTCATTGTGCCATGCAGACATTTGTATGGTAGAAAAGTTGCGCAAGATATAACGACATCGATAATTATCAATAGATATATACACAATAATACTCCTGTTTTACATGTCTACCAACAGTTGTCGGTGTCATTGCGCAGCTTTTTCACCATATAAAATATCTACGCAACGATATCGACAACTGACGGTAAGCGTGTAAAGACAGTTACGGAATCGCGTCTCTAGAATAACACCGAAACTGAAAGTTGGGTAGCCTCGATCGTAATCCTCCATCATAATCGTAATCGGACTGAGATTTTAATTCATAATGTAATTTCAGTCCGAGTCTCTACCCTATAATCGCATAATATTAAATATTATTTTAAGCATATTTTAGAATATTCAATGCAACGTAATTTTAATAATATTTTATTAAAATTATATAATATTAAATAATATTCCTGAAATATTAATAAATAATTATATATCCACTCCTGATATGATATGATTCTTAAAAAGGTAATTATTTAGAACACTGCACCTCCGATTTTGATGAAATTCATTTAACGCATTTTTGCTCGAAACGAAAGAATCTGTAAAAAAAAAACTTTAGGCCCCGCGAATTGAGATATTAAGCATTAGTTTTTAGCAGGGTCTATATATCAATGAGTCTGTAGGCAGAAGTCTTAGCCTTAAAATCAGTTAACTAATTGACTAATCAACGTTAGTACAAGTTAGCTATTGATTAAGTCTAAGATTCTGACTACAGACTCATTGTAGATTCAGCATTAAAGTTAATGATTATTGAGGTTAAGAAATCTATCTCAGAGGCAAAATGAAGTCTATAATTGTACTGTTCCACATGGGTTTTGACTATGGTGGAAGGAATAACATGGTGTATGCAGTTGGACGATATCTCTCTCTAAATCTTCACCCTCTCTGTCTATAGGCCTGTTCTTTTTGATTGAACTTTCTTTTTTCCTAGAGAGAAAAGGAAGAAAGATGAACTGGTGTAAAAGTTCAGCCAAAAAGAACAGGTCTTATGCTAATCCATGGATGTCGCGTGAGAGACAAAGGCCAACTATGAAACGCGAAACATATTTTGTGTCGAGAAATTAGCATACTCAATCTTTCCTTGTCTGATACATACTTTATAATGTATCTTAGTTTCTCTTTTTAACTTTCATAATTTCTATCTTAAATATTGAATAAAAAATTAAATGAACAATGACAGTGCCAATATGGAAAAAGGATATCACCAATGTAGTAAATACTACATTAATTATTATTACGAAATTATTAACATAATTAAAATTAATAAGATTGGAAATAAGACTGTTTATGTTAGATACATTACTTTAAATACGAAGCGCCACTACGGTCTGAATGTAAAGATGTTGAACTATTATGTATATTCATTTCGTCTCCCTGCCGAGCCAATACTTTCGCAATAAGTTTATTATAGTTTTTTAAGATCAAATTTGAGAAATTTGGGGGGATTATTAATATTTCAGATTGATTACGTTGAAAGTCCGACAACCATATCGGCACGCAATTATAATTTCTGAAATTAATTCATTTGAATATATACAAGTCCAACATCTTTACGTAGTGGCACTTCGTATTTAAAGTAATAATTAAAATTATAACACATAAGTAATATTAAGATTATTAGTTATAAATTAAATATATAGCACATGTATTTTGGTTAAAAAATAAGCACAGTTAAATTAAAAATTAATTATGGCTTTTACAGGGTGGGCCATCTATTGGTACGTTTTTGAATTTCGTCGTATGGCAACACCGAACGAGCTACAGACCCGAAATTTTGATAGTTTATTAGTCATACCGTCCGCGGCACGAAACAACATGTTTTCTCTTGCAGAGCGTTTTGAAATTTTAAAAACTTATTTTCAAAGTCAGTGCTGTGTCGCCGAAACTGTACGAATTTTGAAAAGAAATATGGGTCGTGATAGAGCACCCACCGAAGCAGCTATACGCAAATTGGTGAGGAAAGTTCGTGAGAAAGGGATGTTAGTGGATGACATTATATTACGACTGTTTTGAGTGAAATTGGCGCCGAGGTAGTCCAAAATGTCATTAATAATTGGGGTGACCGAATGGCATACTGTAAGGCCAGTAGAGGGAGCCACATGAACGAAATCGTTTTTCATTCTTGACGCGGATACTTTTAGCTTCACAACAAAAAAAAAATTAATAAAAAATATCAATGTATGCTCATTTGATCGCATTTTTAAAAACGTACCAATAGATGGCCCACCCTGTATAGTAAAAACTTTTTTTATACATAAATATACCGGGTGTTTCAGACTACCCATACCATTCTTTTATTTTCGCAGGATAAGGCACAATCGAAAAAGTGTTCAAACAAAAGTTGTAGGATTTCTAAAGATCTATTTACTGGCGCTAGTTTGATCTTGGGTGACGTCACCAAGGTCAGGTTAAGATTGATTTTTTTTAATGGAACACCTCATTTTTTATCCATTGCATATTCTTATAGCACACCTTAAGAGCTTTCCAAAACACTATAATTAAATTCATTTTTATTAAGTACTTTTTGAGTTATAAGGCTTGAAGGTTACAGTACCTCTGGCGTTAGCATTGCCCAAAATGCCAAAACGATGACTAAAACTTCTAGACTTTAGACTAAAGATTCTAGACTAAAACCTAAAGGCTCTAGAAATATTAATATCGAATGCAGATGACATGTAGCAGAAAGATGCGAGTTGCTAAATTTCGAGGTAAAAGAGCAAACTGATGCCTCCGATTTGCAATGCCAAACGCACCTATAATAGAAGCCATACATCCCTTTGCAGGGGGGGGGGAGGGGTGAGAGTCGTTTCGCGAAAGTCGAAACCCAGTACAATTCTAGACACTCATTTTACTTCTGTAACAGATTTCCTAACCTCAATAGTAATTAACTTTAATGCTTAATATCTTGGTACGCGGGACCGACCTAACGTTTTTCTTGCATTCTTTCGTTTCGAGCAAAAACGCGTCGAATGAGCCTAATTTAATCAAAATCGAAGGTGCAGTCTGTACTCTAAATAATCATCCTTAAAAATAACATTCTTAAGTTAGGTTGTCCGACTTTTCGATAAATTATGCTTTCATTCTTTTACTCTTTTATTTATCTAATTGGTAAATTATCACATACCAAATAGCACAGAGAGTTCAAAAAGAATTCAGTTGTTATGTCAATTTAGAATTCACTTTCAGACACAAAAGAATTCTTTTTCTGAACAATTCTGAAAAGAATTTTTTTTACATTTGAAAATGAACTTAAAATTGAAGACATAACTGAATTCTTTTTGTGCTCAGTAGTTTATCTGAAGATGGAACAACCGGCTCATGTTACTGTATTGTATAAGTTATTATAATGACATTTACTTTAATTTGTAAAATTATCCTACTACTCCTAGTTTAGTTTAAAATTACGTTTAAAGACTGAAAATGAATTTTGGCGCGCAGTTGTAGAACTAGGATAGGTATATAAAATTATATCGTTACTTAAACATTATTTAAACACTTTAAGATGCAGCAACTAACAAGATGTTTTCGTTATTTGCAAATTGCGCTTATATAAAAATGATTAATAATAATAAATATTTTAATAATATTTTACGGATATTAAAGGCATAATATGAGGGCAAGTCAATAAGTTCTTAGAAAATCTGTCAGAGGGCACTCGCAGTGTCATGTCACATTACTTTTTGACAAGTAGCAGTTTTCAGCTGATTATTGTCAAATTTTGAGCGGAATTCATCGGGTGGTTTCATTTCTGTAGACGATTAAAGCGAACAACCTTTGTATTTTTTTGCAAAATGGAAAAAAACGAGTTTCGTGCAGTGATCAAACATCTACATATGAAACGGTTTAACGCCGAAAGAAATCAAAGCCGAGGTGGATAATGTTCATAGCACAACAGCGTTTGCGACTGTATACAATTGGGTGAACGAATTTAAACGTAATCATACATCCATATGTGATGCACCTTGTTCGGGACAATTGAGGCTGCTACGGTAGAAATTATCGATAAAGTTATATTGTATTGCACGATGTTGTTTTGACTGATCGACGAATGAAAGAGCTTGTTGAGGCATATCACAGGGCACAGTGATTTCAATTTTGCACGAATAATTGGATATGAAAAAGCTATCGGTAAGATGGGTGCCGCGTTTGCTCACTGTGGACTAGCGCGACCGTGTGACGATTTCAAAACAATGTTTGGAGATGTTTCAACGTAATCCAGATGAATTTTTGCGCCGATTCATTACTATGGACGAAACATGGATTATTTCATACCCGAGAAGGAACAGTCAAAAGAATGGACTTCATCGAACCAGCTCCGAAGGCGAAGACCGTGAAATCGGCCAGAAAGGTGATGGCCACAATTTTTTGGGATGCACGCGATATAATTCATATCGATTACTTCCGTCGAAGCAAACGATCAATGACGATTATTACGCAGCCTTATTGGATTGTTTCAACAACATTTTAAAGAAAAAAATTTTTCGTCCCCATTTGACGAAGAAGAAAGTGCTCTTCCATCAAGACAATGCATGGGTTCACACGTGCCCGGCACCGATGGCCAAATTCAACGAATTCCGCTACGAATTGCTTCCCCATCCAGCATATTCGCCAGATTTAGCCCCCTGCGACTATTTCCTGTTTCCAAATCTGAAGAAATAGTTCGGAGGAAAGAGATTCATCACCAGAGAGCAGCTTATCGCCAAAACAGAGGCTTATTTTGAAGGGTTGGACAAATCATATTATTCGGACTTGAAAAAAATTGAAGAATCGTTGGATCAAGTGTATCGAGCTGAAGAAACTATGTTGAGAAATAAAAATAAATAAAAAAAAATGTGTTTTACTATGTTTTTCTAAAAACTTATTGACTTGCCCTCGTACTAAGAATATTATGTAAAGTGAAGTAATTTGCGCTTATAAGAAGAATTTATAATTAATTAATTATCTTTGACATTATTTATAAAAGCCAATACGGTCTAAAACCGAAGAGACGGTGTGATTCATGGTGGAATTAAAAAGATGATACATTGCGCATAATAGCAGAGATCCCGTTACGTAATGTGAAATTTCGATCAATCAAAAACTGAACTCATTTGTCGCGTGAACGAGTCTTGTGAATTTTTGTGAATAAAGAATCCAATCAAGAGGATTGAAAAACTACATTTCCTATTCAGAATTTTGAATTGAGGAGTACTAAATAAAATTTAACCGTTAAACAATTACAATTTTTTTTTCAATTTACGATAACGTATTTTAAAACTGCCTGATAATTATATATAATTGTAAAAAAGAAAATGCATTCGGATTGAGAAAAGGATTCATTTAACGTTCGCGAATGCGTTTTGCTGAAGTCCATTTCAATTCTCGTTTATTGGATTCATATATGTGGATTATTATAATCTCTTAATAGCTTTTATTACTTTTATTGAATGCAAAAGAAATGAAGTAATAAATTACGCCTACTATTTATGTACTTTCTTCTACGATCCTCTTCCACGAAAGAAGAAATCAGATTGCTGACAGTCTCCTCTGTCTTGTAATCAATTGATTTCATACAATCACTGATACGAAGATACCTGATACATACAAAATACATAATAAATTAGATATTAAAATCTCATTTATCACAACTGTTCTTAAAAAGATGAATACATGTTATGAAAGAATTGGTAACCCTCCGTAGCCCACTGCAGGAGCAGTTCAAGCGCTGGTCGATAAGATGTTCCCTTAATTAATTCTTGCATTAATTTGTCCTTTAAAGATATCTTGCTTCTAGCGTTTTCTAAATTAACCAAATAATTCTTCAAATCCTGAAATCGCAGATTCAAATATCGTGTTCTCTATGTTGCAGAATGAAGTTAGTAGGGGAGACTGGGGACAAAAGTAACATTTTGATTTTGAAGTGTTATAACAATTTAAATACAATATTTACATTTAAAAAATATGTATCTTTAGATAGTAGAATTTATTTAACTACAAAATTTTCTTTGGTTTAATTTTTTTATGTAACTAGAAAAAAATTATGTTTGTTTAAAAACTATGAGGAATTTTGTTACAATCGTCCCAACCCCGTGAACAATTGTAACAGAGGGAGATAATTGTATCACATTTGCCAGAGGTACATAACACAACTACATAAGTCATACTCTTTCTTGCAGCTGCACGAATGGATAACTGATTCTTTATAATCTCTTTAAATGTCTGCTTGTATAAAGGCACTTCTTTTATATAATTTTTCTCTTATCTATCTTTTCTCATTAACAGCATTCTTTGAAGAAAAATACAAATAACATTGTACAAAATAATACTAAAATCAAATAATACAGATTTAAGGTGGCTACTTTGGAGTCAGCGCGGTAAGAGGTGTGTGCGCAATCTACACTTATATATCATTAGTATAATATGTATTAAAAGTTATATCGTTAAACGTGAAACAATTAAAAACATTCAATACATTTTGACGATTTTTAAGTTTCATCACAACATGTTTTATACAAATCTTTTTTATATACTCAATATTGTAATATATTTAACTGCAGTGTGTTATATGGGATTGAGAACGTCACTTATTAACCAAGAAAACAGGCAACTTCTTTGTATCATGTTTGTGCTTTTCTCACTTTCCGATTGGATATGAGATATTCTTTAATATATTATCTTTCGTTAATATATTAATTATGTATTTGCTAAAGGTGGCTAAAACCGATAGCCGAAACGTTCAAACTTACATCTTTTAATATATATTATATTATTAATGATTACACCTCTTACCGCGCTGACTTTAAAGTAGTTCCCTTAAATCTGTATTATATTTTTACAATTATTAGGAGTCCTATTTTATATATATTCTTTAATCTAAAAAAATCAAATAAGTTCGAGAACAAGTGTAACGTTACAACTGACCCCAGGCATCGATGTTATTATCCCCTAATGGTATTTTATGATTTATAATAAATTTTTTAAATAAAAACTTAGATAAAAATCAACTCAAATGTGCAAACCAACGCAGATAATCATTAAAACATTAAGATAATACATTATACCTTTGTTATAAAGAACGAAAAAAATTTAGATTTTGTACACGCAATAAAACTTATTTAATGTATGGAAAAAATAATTTTTGCTTTTGCACTCGTACACGATCCGCGAGAATCAGCATGTAACGAACGATTCAATCTATCTACAGAATTTTACCATACAGTCACATACCCATATCTATTATAATTTAAGAAATATTAACGATGTTGCTATTGTCCCCTTGTTATTTTTGTCCCCGGTCTCCCCTACCTGATTGATATCATTAAATTGCGTCAGGATATTCGAAAGAAATGCCATTTCTTCCTCGAGGCTCATAAGGACTTTAAATATCAATCTTTCCCGCGTTTCCTGATCTATGCTATTTTCTGCTCCGTCTATTTTTTCACTGCACAGGAAAAAAAATTAATCAATCAATCTGTTAAGAAGCCAATTTGTTTTCTTATATTATTTATGAATTAAATTATTAATTTACTTTTAATTATTTACTTTTAATTATTAATTTACTTTTCGAAAACTTATTATTCAAACTATTCAAATTTTCGTAACTGTCGATATAAGCACTTTATGCCTGCACTTGCGTAGGATGAGATAATTGTCCCAGAGAACATTGAGACATCTTATAAGACATCATAAAGATGTGCTAAAATTCACGAGACATTTTTTGGAAGTATCCGAATGACATCTTTAAAATGTCTTATGCGTCGATTTAACATGTCCTAAAGACATTATCTTATGGGCCTTCCACAATAAGCCATTAGTCATAAATCAGAAGTCAGAAGCTAAAAATTAACCAAGTCGTCAGTTTTTAACTTCTGACTTCTAATTTATGACTAGATCGGATTTCTATGCAATTGCATATTTTTTTAGAGTGCGGATTGGAAAGTAAGACTAAAGTAGAAATGTGTCTTATTAAAAGCATTTTAAAAATGCTTATTTATTTGTACATATTTTGCATATTTGCATATTTGCATATTTGTACATATTTTACATATTTGCATATTTTGTGCATATTTGCATACTTTTACATATTTTAAACAATTTTATATATTTTATGTATTTTAATTTCAATGTTATTTTATTTTAATGTCAAGCTGCACAACGACAATGATATCATATTTAATGATATCGTTAGAGTCGTTAAGATTTACAGAATAGGTCTCTCAAATACGTAAATAAAATAAAATATATAAATATTTATCATTACCACTTTGGAACATGCGAACGTTCAAACGTTCTGAAATCAATGCCGTGCTAGCTGTTATCTTGTGAAGTAGTCGCGAGAGAGTGAATATTATTTCGAAAAATATTATAAAGTTCATAAAATGGGAAAAATTAAAAAGAAGAGATGTGTTCTAATTAACGATTGGATAAAATGGAAAATGTTTTGTTTTTGATGGAGCAAGTGTTGTAACTTATGCAAAAAAGATGTATGTATAATATATTATTTGATATTTCATAGCAAAAAACATTTTGTATTTATATTGGTTTATAACAAATAGTCCACTTAAATCCTTAAAGTTTTGTATTGAATAACGTGAATATGTTAAATTTTGCAATTTTATATTATTGAATTTAAGTATTGTGTAAAATTCATTTTGTTATAAATTGTGTGAAACAATGGTGGCTGTAAATATGTCTTAGCATGCACTCGATAATACGGAGTAATTTTTTGAAAAAATATACAAATCGAAAAATTTCTAATGAATCGACGCTTCGAAAAAATTATCTCGAAAAATGTTATAACAGAAAAATTCAAAAAATTCATGATAATATTGTTAAAAATTATGTTTAGATTTCTGTAGATGAGACTACAGATAGTTCTGATCGTTATATAGCTAATTTAATTATTGGAAAAATGTGCAAAGATGAACCAAGAATAAATCCATATTTACTTGTATGTAAACAATTGGAACAAACGAATCATGCAACTGTTGCTCGATTTATCAATACAATACTGTTGACCCGAATATAGCCAAATGATAATGGAAAAAAAAGTATTATTACTCACAGATGCATATATGATAAAAGCTATTGATCATTTGAAAATATTTTATCCTAATATGTTGCATTTAATTCATGGATTAAATAGAGTCACGGAACAAATACGTTTTCCTTTCCAATCAGTTAACAAATTAATATCTTCAGTAAAAAAAGTATTTTTAAAAGCTCCACTTCATATTGAAAGTTACCGAAAAAAAATGATGCCATTATAACAAGATGAGGAACAATGATTGCAAGCAACATTATTTTATTCAAAATATCTCGCTGAAATCAAAGAAATTTATATTTTTTCTTTTATTATTATTAAATTATAGTAAAATTTATTAATATGTATAACATGTTGTTTATGCATTGGTTATTTTTATTTAAAAATATAAATGGTTCAATCATTTGATGCAAAGAATGTTACATCAATGGCTCAGGAAGTATTGCAAAATAAACAACTTGATTTGGTATATATTCAAACTCACTTTAAATATTTACCAAAAATTATGAAAAAGTTAGAAACGAGAGGTATATATGCCTTTAACTAAGTCTATGAAGTTGATACCTAATATTATAGAAAATATTTGAAAAATATCAGGTGAATGTGGAAAAAAAGTTATTTTGAAATTTGATTCAGTCTTAAAAAGAAATTCTAGATTTACTATAATTTTGAAAATAAATGAAATTTTAAAAGGTAATAATGTTGAAGGGCCCCTTGAAATGCCAACTATTGGAGTAAATATAAATACGCTCCCATTACATCTTGCAACATAGAACGTTCATTTTTTGCATATAAAATGAAGTGTTACTATGTAACACGATCATTAATCTGTCATATAGACAGTGGAGTGTATAGACTAGTGCTTATTGATTTGGGGCGGCTACGTCGTCTCGAACAAAAAAAATAATATATCCTACTCACTTGGAGCTTAACTACCTAGAAGTTACAGCTTAGACAATAAAAAGCTCTAAAAAAATTGTTCTCACACTCTACTCATGTCTTCATAGAAATATTCCAAGCTGTCCGCATTGTCTAGGCTGCAACTTCTTGACGGTTAGGCCCCAAACAGATAGGATGTTATTTTCTTTTTGTTCGGGGCGGCATAGCCTAATATCTCGCCCAATATTTCACTTCGCAGAGCAGTCCCGGACTTTTTTCTATCAGATTCTTTCATTTTACGCAAAAACGCGTCGAATGAGCCTAATTTCATCGAAATCGGAGGCTCTTCTGAAGAATTACTCTCATTTTGTCTCTGTGACAGATTTCCTAACCTTAATAGTTATCAACTTTAATGCTTAACATCTTGAATCATAAGGCAGACGCTTTTTTTGCCAGATTCTTTCATTTCGTGCAAAAATGTATCAAATAAGTCTAATTTTATTGATCTTTGAGGTAATTATGCTAAACTGTATAATTATCTGAAAATGTTTGAAAGATGTCTAAAAGGTGTCTTTTGGAAAAGTTTTAAAGACATTTAGTTCAAGACATCTTTTGAATGTCTTTCAGACATGCATGTTCTCTGGGATATTTTATTTTCTCATGTGGTATTGTTTTCAAAATGTTTTATTTATACTATATAACGTTTCATTTTTTTACCTCGTATGCAATACATTCCTTTTTATTTATTGTTGGTTTCAAGATGTTATTGATTATGAAAAAACGTTATTTTTCTAAAATCAATTATTTGAATGTCATTTTTTCTATCCTCGCTTTGCCAAGTGCAAAACCGTATCACGTATTTTACTCCAATCTACTTCCGTCAAAATTCCGCAGTAACAGATCATCGCGCGATCGCTAGAGAAGCCCCTGCAATTGTTGTTTACTTACTTCGTGACATGGCGTAATTGCTCTGTTCGATTAGCTAGACCTTCGAGTGATTTCTCAGCCTTTTTCGATAATTCCTTCCATTTGTCATCTAGTCTTTCTAGACGTAAAAAGTAGCGTACGAGACACATGTGAAGCTCCCATGCCATCTTTGAATTCTCAAATGGAGTGTCGAGATCAACGACATAAGTGATCTGTTTTCTATTCCTGCACTAGACTGCATTAGCACTCTCTTTCTTACTTTCAATAAATATCAAACATATACCTTTCTCACTTTAAGTTCCAAAAATGTACATAAATTCAGCCACAGAAAATAAACCTAAGATCTGTTAGTGTTGCATGAAATACCCAAATATTTTTGCATTTAAAATGAGATAGATACATATTTTGCCTTAAAAAGAAAAAAAATGAAGATGTCGAGTGCCAAAAGTGCAAGCAACGCGAACAGACCTATATACCAAGAGTACGGTCAATACATTGCAAACGCTTTGAAGCGTTTTTTAACTGGTTTCTTAACTTAGTTTGTAAAATTCTTTCTTCTAATTGGTCCATCAAATGCTTCAGAGCATTTGTAGCGAGATTTTGACCAGAGCCCAGAAATGTGCCGCCTACTACTACTGCGAGTTCCGTTTGGCTTCCGCTTTTCCATCAAGGTGTGGAAACCCGGCCTAAGACGTAAACTTAAACCGATTAGCCAATCAGGATATTGCTTTAGATCTACGTAATCTAACGGAAATGGAAATAACAGTAAGGGGCTCCGCACAATAAAAGGAACAGAAAACAGAGAACAAAGAATAAGAATTTCAACCTATCAGAAACTGTGTATTCCATAATTTCTGAAAGGTTGAAATTCTTATTCTCTGTTCTCTGTTGCTTTTATTATGCGAAGTTTCTAAACTTATCCATAACCTCACGATTAGGTGAATTTCAACCGATTGAAACTAGCCTTATGAACAAGTTTACTGCTATTTCTATTTCCGTTAGAGTAGATCTAAAACAGTATCTTGATTGGCTCATTGATTTAAGTTCACATCTTATATCTCCGGCACACCAGCGCGATGTTCGTCGCGCGCAACACGCGATATCCAATGAGTGTACAGCTTTACCGATATTCTCATTCTATATACTGTCATTGGATATCGTGGTCGCATGCGATGAACATCGCGCTAATGTCGAAAGCATAAGACGTGAACTTAATCCAGCAAATCACCAACATTCCATTGTTTGAAAGTGCAATTTTATGCAGCGTCAAAACGCTAGCAACTCTCCCTACTTTGACCTCCTACAAGCTGTCATTTCGCCGCTTGAAGTTCGGAAATGCCATGATGGAAGGATTAAAAGTGGTTGCATGTGGTGTTTATGACGAATCGTCGAATTTCCAATCCGACCGACCAGGGGCGCGATTCCGTAACTGCCTTTACACGCCTACCGATAGTTGTCATTGCGCAGATATTGGGTCATCTAAAAAGTATCCGTGGTACTTTGTCACTAGATATATGACCATCAACACACATAGTGACAAAAAACCGCGGATACTTTTTAGATGACCCAATTTTATATGGTGAAAAAGCTGCGAAACGACACCGATAACGGTCGATAGGCATATAAAAATAATAGGTCTGTTCGCGTTGCATGAAATCCTCAAATATTTTTGCACTTAACATGAGATCCATACATATTTTGCCTTGAAAAGAGAGAAAGAGAAGATGTCGAGTGCCAAAGTGCAAGCAATGCGAACAGACCTAGTTACGAAATCGTGTCTCTGAGCTGATATTCTTGAAATGTATCGCATAAAAAACTAAGGAAATGCTATAGTATATGTAACGCATACTATAGTATTTCCCTAGTTTTACTGCGATACTCTCTTTACAAAGCCAAATATATATTTAATTTAAAATTTATCTCATTTTAAGTGCAAAAATATTTGGGGATTTCATGCAACGCGAACAGATGCATCTATTGATGCATTTCAAAAATTCCTAACCTAATTCCCTTCCCGGTCCTAAGGTCGGGTTCATACCTTGACGGAAAAGCAGAAAGCAGGAAAGCGGAAGCCAATCGAAACTCGCAGTAGTAGATGATACATTTATCTTATTTGCTTCTGTCGTTTCGAGTTCTTATTGGCTTCCGCTTTTTCTGTTTTCCTTCTTTTCATCAAGGTGTAAACCCGGCTTGACATGAAGCGCGAAAATGCGGAAATGCGAAAGATAAAATTGAATAAACTTTACTAGATTTCCGCATGTTCTGTTTCGCCTGTTTTGATCTCCTAATATTGGCTTAGTTTACATCGTGCACTTGATACATATACTAACGAGTAACTTTCTACTAAATTATTTTAGTTTCAGCGATGTTATTCAAAGAATGTTGTACTAAATTGGTATAATATGTATCAAAATGATTAATTAAATACACATCTCGTATATAGGAGTAGGGTATATAGGCGGGTTCTAATCCAGGAGCTCTGAGGAAGGGTGAGGGGCGGAAGGGTATCCGCAGCGCGGGAGATCGTATCCGCTCCGGGAGGGGAGAGCGAGGAAAATGACGTCATTAGACGAGAGGAATGACGGATGTGCGGGGGATGACGTCACAATGGGGGATGACGGGGCTGGGGAGGACGAGGATGTCCCGGGTACGGGAAATTACGTAGCGATGGATGTGTGGAAATTTGCGTAGTGGGGTCCGCGTCGCGGCGATGACGTCACGCAGGATCAATAACCGCCGAGCACGATCCGCCACCGCCGGGCGCGATCTGTCACTACCGCCTCCAAGCATGGTTCGCCTTTGGATGCGGTCCGCCAAGAGACTTGCCGCCACCACCAAACGCGGTCCCCACCGCGCGCTATGCTTACCATGTATATTTACCAGTAATACTTACTATGCGTACCTTTTATGCGTTGCTATCTTCTTCTCGCATGCGAAATATTTTATTTATTTAATATATTATATTTTACTTTATTTTATCTTATATAATTATTTACACTGTGCGATAATAACAGCGCAATTTGTCGAGCGCGATGATGCGCACGTCACGCAATGCCGCGAAGAAGAAAGGAAGGAAGAAAACAAATAAATGTGAATGAGTTAATCTCTATATAGGGTGTTCAAAAAGTCCCGGACCGGGTGAATAACTTGGAAAAAAAAAATTTTTTGAAAAAACGAAAACACGTGAAACGATTTTTCAAAAAATCTATCTTTTGAGAGGGGTTGCGACCCCCCGCCCCCAATGAGGCACGTGGGGCACGAGGGGGGTCGAAAATATTAAATAGCAACATAGGTCAAGTGGGGGCTCATTTGAAAAGTCTTTTTGAATCCAAAACACTACACATAGAAGGCGCTGCGTTCACTTTTGGGGGGAAATTTCAATTTTGAAGATTTTTGACTCAGAAACATTAAAAAAATTTAGTGTTTCGATAATCACCGGAACACATAAAACGATTTTTCAAAAAACTTATCTTTTGAGAGGGGTTACGACCCCCCGCCTCCAATGGGGTACGTGGGGTATGAGGGGGGTCGAAAATCTTAAATAGCAACATAGGTCAAGTGGGGGCTCATTTTAAAAGTCTTTTCGAGACGAATCCAAAACACTACGCAGGACTTTTTGCACATGAAACACACCGTATTTGTTGTCACACATGTACATCAATGGTCGCGTTTTTGAATGTCGATAAAGCCACTTGAAGTCAAAAGTTCAAATCATTGAGTCATTATTATTTTACATTTTATGTAACTTTCTTCCCTGATAAAGCTGTTTGTCGTAGTTCATCTCTGTAATTTTGAAATCAAGCGTCTTTATCGCTGTTTTTGTGGTTATTTTCTTTTTCCTTCAACGTCGTGGATTTTTCCTACATTTAAGATAACATGGTTCCTCTCACCTTAAAAATCAAATAACTCCACCGAAAATGATCGCAGCGCCCTCTATGCGCAGCGTTTTGGATTCGTCTCGAAAAGCCCTTTCAAATGAGCCCCCACTTGACCTATGTTGCTATTTAAGATTTTCGACCTCCCTCGTACCCCACGTGCCCCATTGGGGGCGGGGGGTCGCAACCCCTCTCAAAAGATAGATTTTTTGAAAAATCGTTTCACGTGTTTCGGCGTTTTTTCAAAAAAAATTTTTTTTTCAAATTATTCACTCGGTCCGGGACTTTTTGAACACCCTGTATATTGGGTCATCTAAAAAGTATCTGCGGTTTTTTGTCACTAGATGTTGATGGTCATATATCTTTTTAGATGACCCAATATATACAGAGTGTCTCTTAAGATGGGTCGGGGCCACATTGGAGATTACATCTCGATAAAATCCTCTTATTCTTTATCATAGATATACGATTTATATCTTATTTTTTATCTTATCGCTAGGTTAATATTTCCCTATTTTATCTTTATTTCAAAACCGAAAATTCCTTTTTTCTTTTATAAGAGGGTATATTCAGTTTCTTTATTTAAACATTCAAACCAGCAGATAGATCACGTTATATACTTTTATGCGTCATACAAATTATCTACAGATTATTCTAAAGAATGTCTAAGAATATCACACGATCTTTCTCAAAGAAGCCTCCCTATAAAATAACAAATATAAAAGCGTACATTAACATTAATAATAATGTATATTATATTAGCGTTTAACGATTAAGTAATTAGCAGTAAAATAAAAATCTTCCTGAATGCGAGAACGAATATCTTTTTTTTGCCTTTTTCTTTTTCTAATAAAGTTAAATTAATTTTAAACATATGAATGTAGTGAATTCGCCTCACATAAAGGATATTAAGGAAAACCGAATTTTTATTACTACAAATTGTTAAAACTCAACTATTACTTATTACTATTACTTATTAAGAATAAACTTGTAGAGTGGGGAGTAGGGCTTATGCGGAGCTTTGCTACCTTATCTCAAGGAAAGCGCGAGTATAGGTTCTACCAAATTTTGAGGAGTGTTGATTGGTTCTGAAAGGACACTCCCACACTCATTTTCAGAATATAAAAAGAGCTATCAAAGATAGAAACAGTTGTTCGGTCAGTCAGTTAGCCGACCAGTCAGTCAATCCATCAGTCAGTCGATCAGTCAGTTAGTTACTTACAGTCAGTTACAGTTACAGTTATGCAATCAAGTGAACCGCATTCTTAACCGCACAACTTAATCTCCGATCCCCGAGTAAATTGTTTAAATACATTGACTCAAAAACATTAGTCGCAACTATTATAGCAACTTTATTATAGCAACATTAGTCGTAACAGGATGGAGAATGGATCAAAGGGAACAAAAAATTCTTATGTCATTTTGAGATACTCGCTGTAGTTTTCGAATTAAAAAAGGAAACGTCTAAGCCAATATGCAGTTAAGCCGCGCCGCGCGAATTCATAGGACGGCCCACACTCGAGTGGCGACGACGGTGGTGCGC